GACAGTTGTAACCTGGTGTCCCAAGGGCTGTTACAGGTGCGTAAAGCCAATCTGACCCAGAAGCTTGGCCCGGTTCAAGCTGGCACGGTAATGTCATGATAAGAACAAACAGCAACCTCCTGAGCACTTTAACGGTGTGACAAAAGTTAAATGTTCATAGTGTAGTAGTCTTTAGGTGTTCTTTACCTTGCTCGGCCCTTTTGGGGTCAGTGCTGTATTGACGTGTGATGTGTGGATCCCCTTGGGCTTTCCTTCTATTTTTACCATGGTGTGGGTTGTTAACAATACTTGGTGCAGTCCTTCTCACCTAGATTCCAGAAATTGTTCTGTCAAATGAACTGTCATGAATATGTGGTCTCCGGGCTGACATAGGTCGCAAATTTCCTTGGTGGGCTCCTTTTGGGCCTCAACTATGTGTGAATGGAAGGCTTTAAGAGATTTAGTCAAGGCTATGCAATAATTAAGCAAGGTTTCGTCCGTACTGTGGATGTCCATTTGCAAATGTATAAAGGGGCCCCATGGATGGGATACAGGCTTGACCCCACTGTGCATTTTCCCTGCATTAAATTTTTGACATACCATGCATCTAGCACTTATCTTTTCAGCTATCGTCACAAAACCTGGTGCATACTAGGATTGTTGCACAATACGATTCATCCCCAACTTTGCCCGCATGTGTGAAGTGGTGACACATGAGGGTAAACCACGGTAAGAAGGCAGACAGTACCACCATGTCGCTGTTGTAGGAGACCCATAAGCTGCCTGGCCACCGGAGACATCCTGCAACATGCCAGGCAGATTGCTCTGCAGTGCTGGATTCTGATTGAAAGGCGATAATGTCCGCAAGGGAAGGGCTGGAACTAACAGGGGCAGCTAGGGCAATGCATTAGTGTAACACAAACCCAGATTGTCCTGCTGCCACTGCCTTGGCCACAACATCTGCGTGGGAATTTCCAGAGGATACATCATCAGAGGAATTAACACGAGCCGTACATTTAACGACGGCCAAAGCCGCAGGGAGTTACAATCGCTACTGCGACTGATATGAGGTTGAAGATACCAAAAGGTATTGCATTCTCCCATGAACTATTCGGGCAATCTCAGGACCAGTGGCTGTGTTGGCCGCTTCCCCTACCCCAACCACGTCCCCACTGGGGATGCCCCAAGGGGGTCTGCAGGGTAGTTTGACTTCCACAGCAACAAGTATTCAGTCGATTCGTTCTTTACCATTTTGTTGCTGGTGTTCTAACTGGTGCTGGCAGTGTTGCAGAATGCTCGAGATTTCACTCAGGCTCTGAGCTTCCCATTCTACACAGACGTTACAGAACATCTGTTTCATACATGGTTGCGATCCATTTACAATAGTACTGACAAGGATGGGCGTACCACATTTCCCTCATACCCAAATATCTTCGGAAGACCAAGCAGAGTCGCTCAAAGTAATCCTCCACTTCCTCATCAGTTTTCTTCATAGTTTTAGGACATATCAGAATTTTGCTCAAAGAGAATTGCATTTCAAAAATTCCAGTTCTTTTATTATTTGGAAAGTTTCACACCAAAGTACATTTACAATGAACAAATCTTATCATCTGGAATTAAAGATTCACTCATGTGTTAAACAGTATTTGGAAATTCACTTTGGCCAGAAAATGAAATTCCAAACGTGATCATTTCCAATTCCAAGAGGTAGATTTTTACCAACCTTTACAACCCAACTTTCAAATCAACATCTTGTTGCAGATTTTTGCTTTACACTACCACTGATTGTTCCTTAAAAAGACATTACATTAACCATACATATTCCACACTAATACAGGCACCCATTATCCTTTCAAACACCATTGATTTCCAAGATGAAAACTAAATCCAAAGCATTCCCGGATCTTGAGCTCCAGGGGACGAAAACACAAATATTGCACAAATTCAAATTTAACCACAAATGAACAAATATACATTGAAACTACACCACAAAGTGTTAACACTTAGTTCAGTGAATGTAGCACCAAAAGCTGGTGTCTCTATCTCTCTGCTTTTCTTTTCCTTTTCTTGCTGTCTATTGTTTTATGCAATTGCAATTAAATGTGCTGTTAGGTGGAAACGGCTTCTCACTTCTCTGCATCCACTGTGCCCATTTATCAACAAATTTACCTGAATCAGGCCCATAATAAACATATGTATATGCCAATGGCCTTCCCTTTTAAGGGAGGGTTTCACTCGAGACATTATTGCCCATTCTGATTTTGATCTTAATACCAATTACATTTCCGGAAAAGTATTAAGTTGACTGATCCTAACAGCCTTGTGTTGAGTCACTGAGGAGGGGCTCTGATCTCTCTTTCAAACACGACTTGGCCAACTTCACCTACAAGGGACTCTTTCTCCTCTTACAGAAGTAGAGCCTCTAATCTAAAAGTCCTATTGCTTCATGGGACTCTAACCCACCTCAGGGGACTCCAATCCCTTGGAGGGGACTCAAACGGCTTTTCTCCAGAGACCTCAATTTTTATTCACTCGCACTCTGATTTCCTCGACTTCACCATATTACTGTGTAAGGCTTACCTTGTACTTGTACAACCCCATTCCTCACTGGTAAACAAACCAAAGGGATGAAGTCCCTACCTTTTGTATGCTGCAGCTAGTTCATTTACTGGCAAGGCGTGGTATCCAGTCCTGTGCGGCAAGCCAAGGATTAGCCATCTCAGTGGAACCCTCCAAGGGTTTGCCTTCATTGCTCAGAGCATTGAGTATAGGAGTTGGGTCGTCAAGTTGCGGCTACATATATTACATTGGAAACAGTGCGGAAAAATTTACCAGGATGTTACTGGGACTGGAGGGTTTGAGTTATATGGTGAGGCTGGGACCTTTTTTTCCTGGAGTGGAGGTTGAGGGGTGACCTTATAGAGGTTTATAAAATCATCAAGGGCATAGATAAGGTGAATAGCAAGAGGTCTTTTCCCTAGGGTAGTGGAGTTCAAAACTAGAGGGCATAAGTTGAAGTTGAGAGGGGAAAAGATTTAAAAGTGATCTAAGGGGCAAAATTTTCACACAGATGGTCATTCATATGTGGAAGGAACTGCCAGCGGAAGCAGTAGATGCAGGTAAGGTTACAACATTTAAAAGACATTTGGACAGGTACACGAATGGGAGGGGCTTGGAGGAATATAGGCCAAATGCAGGCAAATGGGACCAGCTTAGTTTGGGAAACCCAGCTGGCATGGACGAGTTGGACCGAAGGGTCCGTTTCCCTGTTTGACCCTATGACTATATGTTTAGCATACTTCTCACAATGTTTGAAGTATCATTTGATGCAGGAGTGGTGACCCAAAGATTATTCTGTTTGAAAGCTGACAATGTGGGCAAAATAATGTTGCACATGTTGAGTTTCCTTTTAAAAATAAAATCAGCTCTTATTCAATGCTTTCTCCTCTTCATTTTTTTTTGTAGCTGATTTGACTTTGAAGCAAACGTTGCAAATACCTGTCTGATGCAGGTTCTGCACTGTTCATTTATAAAAATTCCTAATCTCATAGTTCACTCCCAACAGTTCCAATGCTTCATGAAGGACACTGCTTTTCTGATATTTCACGAAGGTTATGCAAAACCTACAAGTTTACGTTGCGTTTGATAAATAGTGTAGCCCTATATTAACTTATGGAGTTAATGTACATGTTCAAGGTTACATTGACATTTCATATTTCAACAAAGCAAATGGATTATTTCATACACCATCCTATTTAATCACCATTCCAGTTTGTAAAGCTCAAGATTCTCATCATTAGTCATGACACATCCCATGAAAGTTAGGATCAATGTTGTTGCTCATGCTTGTAACTCCTTTGCAATTCAAGTAGATTACTAATGTGGTGATAAATACGGTATTATTTTAAGAGTAGTCTGCTTAGTTATATTGGTTTACTATAATTTGTTTTAACAGAACTTCTATTAATGGTTTTTATAGTGGCATCTACAAAGAATAATTCCATAAAATTAAACACCAGGTGGAATGCAATTGGTGTAACCTACATTCTCATGATTGTTCACTCTTTAATAAGAGAACGCTTGCAGATAACAAAAAGATGATGGTGCTTCCCTGCACCCACAGGCCTCATTTTTCAGTGGCTCAGGTTGTAGATTTGAAGCAGCTGCCAAATAAGCCTCTGATTTTTGCATTGCATTACATTCTACAATAAGTAGACACTGCAGCTAATGCATGCAAGAGTGGATGCCTGTGCTACAACACCACTCACATTTATCTAGTGTACAGCATAGCAAAATGTATCAAAACCCAGAAGCATAATCATGGGGATAAAGTATTAAACAAGAAGATTGTGGTGTTCTGAATAATGTCAAAATTTCTGTCAATATAGCTTCATTAATTTAGATTTAGACTTGTGCTTTGCAGGCAGCGGAGCAGCATTGAGGTGACAAATTAGTCATTTGATGCAAAATGCCTGCTTTAATAGCTATGGTATTTGCATGATTAGTCCAGTTAAGTTCCTTGTCAAAAAAGTGCAAATTTTATTTTGTACCAACCTGAGCAAATTTGTGTATCTGTTCCACCACAGCAGCAAACAAGGCACCTACACTCTTGAGGATATTGCCAAGGAATTCAATGTTGGCATTGCCATTGAGTTTCAAATGGGAGTGGTTAGACCATGACTTATTGGTGATTGTTGCCTAGCAGTTGTGTTGGTAGTTGCTACTATTAGGCCAAACTTGACTGTATCCAGGTCTTAAATTAATCCATATGTACTTGAGACATTGAAAAATTTCAGTGCCATAAACATTAATCATCAGTGTCAGTTCCACTTCTGACCATATGATGGGCAATAGATTTAATGAAGCAGCTGAAGGTAATTGGTCATGGAATATTACATAAGGAACACGTAAAAAATGTTCTAAGCTTGGATGAGGAGCCTCCAACATCCACAGCAATCTTCCATATCTTAACATGGCCATTAGATAATATCTGACTAGCAAAAAGGACCACGCAAATCAACTAATTTTATGCCATTTATTGCTTTATTTACAGCACTGTTGAAATTATTTATTCATAAAAAACTTCTATAATGCAATTTTGTTCTAATAGAAAAAAAAGCTTGTCTTTAACTGTGAATTTTCAAACAAAGATTAACTTATTGTGTAAAACAGTTTGCACCAAAATTGAAAGATGGTACTTCAGACAATAACAGCATTCAACAGTTTCAACATAGTGCAAGCATTTTCATGGTGACAGCTTGAATGAAACAAAATAAACTTTTTTGGTATTTTTCACTGGAATTGAATGGCAGAAGTGGCAAAGAATACAATTTGTTACAATATACACCACTGGTCACCAAGTAATCCACCAGAACTGCGTAAGAAAATAACTTTGCTACAGTTTTCCCTGGAATGTTGCTAAACACTTGGTTCAGTCCTCTCACTATTGACCACTGAAAAGATTAGCACAATGGGTATATACTCAATTATTTTGCTGTCCAAATTGTAGTGCAGAGTATTTCCTTAGCATTGAATCATTTATGGTAAGAACCGCAGTTTAATTTGTTCTTGTGCAGCAAACTTCACATCTTGCAACAGATGTGATTTTTATTCAGTGGTCATGGCATGTTCAGCCTCTCCAGAAACACAGTATTTATCTTCTCCAGTACTAAAAAGAAGAAAAAAAGAAGAGTTGAATGCTTCATCACCAAGAAGATTGTAGCCTGGTTGCTGATTTATAAGCACCTTTCTCATAGCTGTAGTAAAATTTGAAAAATGTTGTAAATTAGTCTTTAGAGCACAGCTGTGCTCACTGTGTACATTAACTAACACCAAGATAGTTTTTATTACTTGAAGTGCGTCCAAAGCGATACGGGAAATAATGAGAATCTGGATTAAAGTCAAACACAGTTGCAATTGTAACAAAACTAAATGAGTTGATAATGAAACATTTCAGTTGCCAGAAACAGACAAATAGGCGTGAATGTATAGGATAAGATTCCAAATTAGTAAATTCACAAAAACATTACTTTAACTTTGGAAGAATGGGGAAAGTCTGATGATCGGCAAATTTTTACATGTTCCTGGATTAGCTTGTATGAAGTTTTTGCTAACTACATTATGAGTTAAAAACTTTTAAAGTCAAAAAAGTGCAAATTTTATTTTGTACCAACCTGAGCAAATTTGTGTATCTGTTCCACCACAGCAGCAAACAAGGCACCTACACTTTCATCTATCAAACTCTGCATGTAATGAACTGCTTCTTCATCAGAAAGATCTAGGCGGAATTTGTCCTGTACCTATACGAAGGATAAGTACAGTTAAATATATAAACAAATTCACAACTTGTACCAATAACTTTTAAACTTGTACTTTTCCTAATTGCAGATGAGGGTAATTGCAGATGTCTAGTATTCTCTTCATTTGTGGGAATGCAAGAACACTAGTCACCACTAGGGTTGTTTTTCCCTGATATCTTGAATTATGGGCTGAAGCGCAAGACCAAAATTGCCATATCTACCGCTATTTGCATGATTCCAAGTGGAAAAAAGTGCATCAACTTTTACTAAGCTGAAAGTTTAAAACTACAATTTGGTGATCCTTGTTCCTCAAACAAAGTTGCTGTTTAAATAAAATGCTTAAGAACGTGTAAATTACTGCAGCTATCACCAACAGATGACAGAGGCTTCACTATTTCCTCAAAAGTGAACAAAGGTTTGTAAATTTATCGAGGGAAAGCCAAACATTTTTGATAAAAATGTGATGTGCTGAACTTTCCAAAAAAATCAACTTTGTGCAACTTGTAGTTTACAAAATGATAGCACAATTATTCAAACTTAAATCAGAAGATTTTGTGCATATTTAAAATGGAATTACTTATCATTGATGCTGGTTGTAATAAAGACTGGTAAACTGCAGACAATTAATTCTCCTCAGTTTGAACCTACATGGGTTTGAAATAGCAGAAGATCTTAGTAAAGATAGCAGAAAATTATTCTTGTTTAGCCTAAAATTGCTCTTCTGACAAGGGCAAGGTAATTTTATGGAAGGTTAAACGTTGGAGCATTATTTTATCAGGATGCCAGGAAGAAACACCAAAGAATTGCACTTCTGTAACACCAGAAAATTGTTTGTTAGGAAGATAGAAAAAAGTAGCTATTTTTTTTTCCAACAACTAATATTGCTAGTGATCAACAAGGGACAATTATAAACAGAGATAACAAGGGGTAGAGCTGGATGAACACAGAAGGCCAAGCAGCATCAGAGGAGCAGGAAGGCTGATGTTTCGGGCCTAGACCCTTCAATCTTTTCTGTTCCTTCCTGTTCCTCTGATGCTGCTTGGCCTGCTGTGTTCATCCAGCTCTACACCTTGTTATCTCAGATTCTCCAGCATCTGCAGTTCCTGCTATCTCTGAAACAATTATAAACAGTCATGTTTTAAATGACTTAAAATGGTTGCATGGATAACTGTTATGATGACAATGAGATGTTTTCTACTACAGCCACCTTTCATTGGTGCAAGAAAGCTTTCATAATTCACAACTGAATTAATTGAACAATGATATTCTCTCGTGTACAGGAAAATATTTCATTTATAAATATCTACTTAAGAGTTCACCTTTTATGGCTTGCTTCAAGAGGAGGTTCACTTTCCAATCTTTCCTTTCATCTGAAAGTAGATTCTAAAGTGGTATACATCAGCATCCAGAGCAAATGGGTAGGCGAGGGCCTAGTGGTATTATCGCTAGACTATTAATCCAGAAACCCAGCTAATGTTCTGGGGACCCCAGTTCAAATCCCATGACAGCAGATGGCGGAATCTGAATTCAATAAAAAAAGGCTGGAATCTATCACCACAAAATCATTGCCGATTGTCAGGAAAAAAACTCATCTGGTTCACTGATATCCTTCAGGGAAGGAAAATCTGGTGGTTGACTCTCAATGGTCCTCTGGAACGGCATTCAGTTGTACCAATCACTACAAAGTCTCAAAGAAATGAACCGGATGGATCACCTGGCATCGACTGGGCACCGGAAAAGACAATGGTGGAAACTGCCCTGTCAACCCTGCAAAGTCCTCCTCACTAACATTTGGGGGCTAGTGCCAAAATTGGGAGAGCTGTCTCACAGACTAGTCAAGCAACAGCCTGACATAGTCATAATCACAGAACCATATCTTACAGACAATGTCCCAGAAACCACCATCACCATCGCTGGATATGTCCTGTCCCACCGGCAGGACAGACCCAGCAGAGGTGGCAACACAGTGGTATACAATCGGTAGGGAGTTGCCCTGGGAGTCCTCAACATGGACTCTGGACCCCACAAAGTCTCAGGGTTTCAGGTTAAACATGAGTAAGGAAACTTCTTGCTAATTAGCATGTACTGAACTCCCTCAGCTGATGAATTGGTACTCCTCCATGTTGAACAACACTTGGAAGGAGCACTGAGGATGGCAAGGAAATAAAAAGTACTCTTGGGGTTGGGGAGGAGGATTTCAAATGTCCACCAAGAGTGGCTCAGCAGCAGTACTACTGATCGAGTTGGTCAGATCCGCAAGGACATAGCTGCTAGACTGGGCCAGCGGCAGGTGGTGAGGAACCAAAAAAAAAAAGAGGAAAAAACATACTTGACCTCATCCTTACCAATCTGCCAGCTGCAGATCCAGCTGTCCATGACAGTATCAGTAAGAGCGACCACTGCGTAGACCTTGTGGAGACAAAGTCCTGCCTTCACATTGACAATAACGTCCACTGTGTTGTGTGGCACCATCACCATGCTAAATAGGACAGACTTCGCACAGATCTAGCAACTCAAGTCTGGGTATCCATGAGGCGCTGTGGGCCATCAACAGCAGCAGAATTCTACTCCAGCACAAATCTGTAACCTCATGGCCCAGTATATCACCCACTCATCCATTACTATCAAGCCTGGGGATCAACCTCTCCTGGCTCATAGGGGAGTGCAGGAGGGCATGCCAGGAGCAGCACCAGGCATACCTGAAGATGAGGTGTCATCCTGATGAAGCTACGAAACAGGATTACTTGCACAGCAATCAGCATAAGCAGCAAGTGGGAGACACAGCTAAGCAATCCTATAATCAACGGATCAGATCTAAGCTCTGTAGTTCTGCCACATCCAGTGGTGAATGGTGGTGGATAATTAAACAACTCACTGGAGGAGGTGGCTCTACAAGTATCCCCATCCTCAATGACGGAAAAGCCCAGCACATCAGTGCAAAAGATAAGGCTGAAGCATTCGCAGAAATCTTCAGCCAGAATGCCGAGTGGATGATCCATCTCAGCCTCCTCCAGTGGTCCTCAGCATTACAGATACCTTCAGCCAATTCAATTCACTTCATGTGATATAAAGAAATGGTTGGAGGCACTGGATACTCCACGTGATATCAAGAAGCAATTGACGACACTGGATATTGTAAAGGCTATGGGCTCCGACAACATTCCCGCAATAGCAGTGAAAATTTGTGCTCCAGAACTTGTTGCTCCCCTAGCTAAGCTGTTCCAGTACAGATAGAACACTGGTATCTATCCGGCAGTGTGGAAAATTGCCCAAGCATGCCCTGTACACAAAAAGCACAAAGGACAAATCCAACCCACCCAATTACCGCCCCAGTTTACTCTGAATTATCAATAAAGGGACGGAAGGTGTCCTCAAGCAGCACCTGCTCAGCAATAACCTGCTTGGTGACGCCCAGTTTGGGTTCTGCCTGGGCCACTCAGCTCCTGACCTCATTACAACTTGATTCAAACATGGACAAAAGGGCTGAATTCCAGAGGTGAGGTGAGATCGACATTCCTTGACATCAAGGCTGCGGCATCAAGGAGCCCTAGCAAAACTGGAATTAACGTGTATCAGAGACAAACTCTCCGGAGGCTGGAGTCATACCTGACACATTGGAAGATGGTCGTGGTTTTTGGAGGTCAATCATCTCAGCTCCAGGACATCTCTGCAGAAGTTCCTCAGGGTAGTGTCCTCGGCCCAACCATCTACAGCTGATTCATCAATGACATTCCCTCCATCGTAAGGTCAGAATTGGGGATGTTCGCTGATGATTGCGCAATGTTCAGTGCCATTCGCAACTCCTCAGATACTGAAGCGGTCCACGTTCAAATGAAACAAGATCTGGACAATATCCAGGCTTGGGCTGACAAGTGGCAAGTGGCATTCATGCCACAAAAGTGCCAAGTTATGACCATCACGAACAAGAGACAATCTAACCACCACCCCTTGACATTCAATGGTGTTACCATCAATGAGTACCGCACTAACAATATCCTGGGGGTTATCATTGACCAGAAACTCAACTGGACTCACCACATTAACACAGTGGCTACAAGAGCAGGCCAGAAGCTGGGAATATTGCGGTGAGTAACTCACCTCCTGACTCCTTAAAGCCTGTCCACCATCTACAAGGCACAAGTCAGGAGTGTGATGGAATACTCCCCACTTGCCTGGATGAGTGCAGCCCCAAAAACACTCATGAAGCTTGACACCATCCAGGACAAAGCAGCCTGCTTGATTGGCGCTACATCCACAAACATCCACTCCCTCCACCACTGATGTTCAGTAGCAGCAGTGTGTACTATTTACAAGATCCACTGCAGAAATTCACCAAAGATTCTCAGATAGCACCTTACAAACCCACGACCACTTCCATCTAGAAGGACGAGGGCAGCAGATATATGGGAACACCACCACCTCCATGTTCCCCTCCAAGCAACTCACCATCCTGACTTGGAAATATATTGCCGTTCCTTCACTGTCGCTGGGTCAAGATCCTGGAATTCCCTCCCTAACAGTATTGTGGATCAACCCACAGCAGGTGGACTGCAGCGGTTCAAGGCGGCAGCTCACCACCACCTTCTCAAGGGCAAATAGGGATGGGCAATAAACGTAGGCCAGCCAGTGATGACCACATCCCACTAAGTGAATAGAAAAAAAAATCTGGAATAATCAGTATCAGTTGGAACACAACGTTCCGAGAATCCCACAAAATAGAATCTAAAATTACCTCTAAACAACCCCCTTACACCCAGCATAATCAAATAGTACACTTTTCATTTTAAACATCCTAAAAGTGAAAGCCACAGCTCAAAAGTGAAGCCGATTTTTAGAACTTTTATTCTGCAACCTAAAGTTAGGCAAGGCTTCAAAAAAGCATCTTTGTTCCTTCTATATACACTTGATAAGTACAAAAATTATATGTTACAGGCTTTCCTTTTATCCTAGTTTTGCTGGTAACACACAAAAATATCAAAATTTTGATTCATTGTCTACAC